TGCTTCTAAGGAGCATTCTGGTTGTACTTCTTCCAAGACAGATTTGTTTGTTCATCTGGCAGTCCCTGATACTTTCAATATTCTTTACCATCAATTCAAATGCATCAATTCTTTTCTGGTCTTGCTTATTCATAGTCCAGTTTTAGTCTTTTATTTGTTTATCATGATGGTCCAGTGTGAGGACTTAATTTTCTGTCGAGTATGATAATTCATCACGCCTTAGTCATCTTGGATTGAGGAAATAAATGGAGGGTATAAGTTTCGTCTGAATGTAGTAACCCTGAGGAGCAGCTGGTGGATTTGAAGCACTGACCTTGTGGTTAGCAGTCCAGTGCTTATCCTACAGCATCGCACCATTCTGTAGTTAGTGTTAAATGGGCCAATGTCATCTTTGAGGTTTCCTATCAGACTTTTGGACGTATCTCAGTAATTGTGCCTTCTTCTTCTTCTTTTTTTAAATGGCAGACAATACAGAGGTTTACCAAGCTCCTGAGACACCCTCATTCATAGCTTTTTTTTTTTTTTCTTTTCCTTAGTTCATATATGCTCGGATTTATGCCTAATATAGCGTTGTTTAAACACGTCTCTGTGATCAGTAGATGGCTGCAGACAAGTTCTCTCAGTAATACACTTACATTAGTCTCATTATGGTGTCTTCAAAAAAAAAAAAAAAGGTCCAATCAAAGCAGTGCCCTCCAAGGGGATCAGTTGGGCCAGTTCAACAGTTCAATTCAAGCCAGAGAGGACAGCTCAGAAGTTTATAGCAATTATTCTTTGGAATCCCAAAGGGGTAATCTTGATAGATTTTCTTGAAGACCACAGGAAAATCTTGGGGGCTTATCAGGAAGAAGTTTCAAGAAAATTGAAAAATGCATTTATGAGAAACAGACCGGGAAATTGTGCTGAGAAATTGTTTTCTATTATGACAATGCACCTGCTCATTCTTCAAGAGTAACAAGGGCTACCCTGTGAGACTTTCTCTAGGAAATCTTACCCCATTCACCATACAGCCCTGGTCTTACCCCTTCAGACTTCTGCTTGTTCCCCAAACTCAGAGAACACTTAAAAAGAACATAATTTGAGTACCTCAAGTATGACAAAACTTTTGATATGGTGTGAATTGAAGAGTGTAGAAAAGGGGTTAGAAAGATGAAAACACTACCTTCAGAATTTGATAGTGGCACTGTTGTTGTTGTTAGGTGCCATTGGGTCAGTACCAACTCATAGCAACCCTATGCACAACAGAATGAAACATTGCCCGATCCTGGGCCAACCTCACAACTGTTGCCACGCTTGAGCCCATTGATGCAGCCACTTTGCCAATCCATCTCGCTCGGGGTCTTCCTTTTTTTCTCTGACCCTCTGCCTTACCATGATATCCTTCTCCAGTGATGCTGTAAGATTAGGATAATGCACTGGCCCGCAAGATCCGTTTGGAGTTTCAAATCCACCGCCATGAGTTGGAACCTACTTGAGAGCACTTAATAACAACAGCAACAATTAGAGGATAAGCATTGGATTGCTTACCAAAAGGTCAGTGGTTCAAACCCACCAACTGTCTATTTTAATTAATTTTATTTCTAAAAGCTTTTATTGTGTATTGAGTTAGTGAACTATGGAGTTAGTGTACTATGGAGACGTGCTTGATTCTTTATATGAAGAATCCTTTCCTATTTGGTTGGAATTTGGGGGCAGCTTCATCCATAACAAAGATCCAGTTGATCAGGTTGTAGCAATTTATGCTTGCTTCTGTATCATGCTTCTTTATCTTCATCTGATCAAATTCTGGTTGCAAGCAATTCATGCTAGGTCAAATGGGTACTGTCTGCAAGTTTGGGAGTTCTTGCACACCTCCACCCTCTTCAGATCAGCTGGTTACTTTATTCTTAGCTCTAGCCCCCAGTGGCTAGGTCAGTGTCCTTGGGCTTGTGAGTTCACACATGTCTCTGAACTTCAAACCAAACAGCCCATCCTCCTCTCTCTCTCATCTCAAGGTCATCAGGCATCTATGGAATATGGTCAATCTCAGCCCATGTCTTCTTTGCTGCATTTCCCCCACCTTCCACTCATAAATTGACCAGGAGGGTGTCAGCAAGCACACAAGACTGTTTGTGTGTTCTCTTTGAGTTTCAGTCTTAGAAAGGGGTTTACCCTGATAGGCTGACTTTTCTTGACTTGATGGCTCCAGGGCAAACAGCTTGTTTTCTATTGTCACAGCCAAATAGTCTGCTTTTCCCCTCCCTCTTCCCCATTGGCCTTTCTTTCAAGAAGTATCATCTGTTCCTATTGTCTTCTAGGTTGCTCTGCATGTCTTTACAGTGGGGAATGTCTTACCAGTGAAGGGTCTGGGTGGGGCTCAGGGTTCCACCTAAGGCTCCATACTTCACCAAGCCTTAATAAGAAGCCTGTTTCCCTGGGTACATTCTTGTCCCCTTTAAGATAATCCAATCGGTTATAGTTTCATAGTTTGGTTTTTATTTTGTTGTTGTTGTTGTTGTCAGGTGCCATCGAGTCGGAACCGACTCATAGCGACCCCATGCACAGCAGAACGAAACAATGTTCGATCCTGGGCCAACCTCACTACCGCTGCCACACTTGAGTCCATCAATGATGCCACCTGGCTGATCCATCTCGTTGGGGGTCTTCCTCTTTTTCTCTGACCCTCCACCCTACCCAGCATGACATCCTTCTCCAGCGATTGTTTCCTCTGGACAATATGTCCAAAGTAGGAGAGACGAAGCTTAGCCATCCTGGCCTCCAAGGAGCACTCTGGCTGCACTTCTTCCAAAACAGATCTATTGGTTCTTTTGGCAGTCCATGGCACTTTCAGTATTCTCCTCCAACACCACAACTCAAAGGCATCAATTCTTCTACGACCCTTCTTATTCACTGTCCAGCTTTCGCATCCATATGAGGCTATTGAAAACACAATGGCCTGGGTCAGGCGCACCCTAGTCCTCAAGTTGTTGTTAAGTGTCATCAAGTTGATTCTGATTCATAGCAACCCTGCAGAGGGTTTCCAAAGAGTGGCTGGTTGGTTTGAACCGACAACCTTGTAGTTGGCAGTCCAGTTTATACAAACTGTAATAAAAAACCCCAAAAACCCCACAAAACTGTTTTAATGGGGGAGGAGGAGTGCTGATGGCACTGTAGGAGAAACAGTGGACTGCTAACCATAAGATAGGTGGTTGGAGCCTACAAGCTGTTAAGCAGGAGAAAGATGAGACTTTCTGCTCGGTAAAGATTTATGCCTGGGAAACCAATGGAGTCGCTATGAGTCTGAAAGTGAGTCAATGGCACATACCAACAGGTGGGGGAGGAAGTTTGTGAAATCCCCGCAGACAGGAGGTACACCTATATTCTTTACAGGGGGCCGTTTTTCCTCTTTCTAGTCCCCCTTCCTCCACACCCTAAGTGTTGTTGTTGTTAAATGCCTTCGAGTGATTTAGGGTTTCCGAGGAGGAGTGGCTAGTGAGTTTGAACCGCCCACCTTACGTTTCAAATCGACCTTGCAACCCAGTACATTATCCTACAGCACCACACCAGGACTCCATACCCTGGGTAGGGACAGCTTTCTTTGCTTTCCACATGGTTTCATTTCCATTTGCTGACCGTCCCAGTTTTTACACCTTGATACAACAACACCTGTAAAAGATTTTGGTTTGACTCACTGGAGGAGTTGTAGAAACCTGGGCAACCGGATTTTCTTATCCAGTATATGTCTCTACAATCCCCTTTCACACTAGTTCTTAAAAACAGTTCAGATCGACAGCTACGGGAACTGCAGAGGAGTAAATACACCTATGGGGTTTTACCCTTCAGTCCCCTAATAGCACCACAGCTGTGCGTACGCTCTTGAGTTCCCAGGGGGCGCGCGTCTGCTTGGCGAAGACTTGCTCTGGCCTGACATTTTTCTGCAGTGTGGATACTGACTGCGTCTCGTGCGCTTCGGGTGTTGGGTGAATGGCAGAGGAAAATGTGGTGGGATTCTTCCCTGTGGAAGAGAGTGATAAGACACTCAGCCGACGGGTATCAATCAGTGCCAGGGAGATGGCGGCTGAGTGGAGCGGGCAACTCGTGGAGAGAGCTTTGTACTATCCTGATAAGCGGGATTTAGCCACAAGGCTCCATAGTAGAGGGAGGCGACAAGTGGTGTAAACAGCCGTTCCACAGCGTTCTTTGAAATCCTCTCCCCAAAGGTCGTTTTACACCCACACAAACATGACCTCGAGAATTTCGCATACGTCACTGCTTCATTTTGGGGTGAAGAAAAGGCTCACATTTTGCGGATGAAAACTCTCCTCTTTAAAGGACCTTGGCGGAGAGTGTTGGGGGGAAGGGGGAGGCGGAGCGCGGGGGAAAGGGGAGGCGGCCCAGGAGCCCACAGCGGTCTCGCTCCAAATTCCGCCAGGGAGTTCCTGTTGGGTGGCAGAGGAGGTGGGGCAAAGGCAGGGCGCTGAAATAGGGCAGCGGGTGCCCGAGCGCAGCCAGGCTGCAGTACAGTTCCGCCGGCAGCGGGTGTGTGGTGGTGCGGTACGCCCTTAGGGATCCTTGCTCTGGGAGGGCCTCGGTGAGTCACTCAAAGAGTTGTCGCAATCGCCAGTCAGAGTGACTGAGAAGCGGGGTGGGGCGCGTTCCGGGTCCCTCGCGCGCGTTCCTGCTGTGTCGCGGTGTCCCTTCGCTCACCCGGAGCTGCATTCCTCTGTGACACCCTGCCGGGGTATGCGCCTACAGCAGTGGCCCCATCCTCGACCTGGGCCTCGAGCGGAGAAAGAGTCAACTGGCGGGGCCTAGGAGGAGCCAGAGAAGGAAGGAAGGAAATTGTAGTTCTGAAAGTTTTCCTTCCCCATTTCTTTTCCCTGCAGTGCTGGGCACCCGGTGGCCGCTGTGCTGACACTCGAGCTCTGCTCCGCGCCTTCGTTGCGGGAGCTCCCGCCTGACTGCCTGCGGGCAGGGGCCGCTGACGCGCTAGGATCTCCTCGGAGTAGGTTCGCCGAGCCATGGAGGGCGGTGACCTAGCAGTGAAGATCCTTTCAACCTGGCTGACTTTGGTGCTCGTCCTCATCCTCTTGCCATCGGCTTTCGGGGTGTCTTTGGGTATCTCCGAGCTCTACATGAAAATCCTGGTGAAAACTTTAGAGGTGAGGGACTGAGGGAGGCGGCGCCCCCGCACCTCTAAGGGCTTTAGGGAGAATCTCGGGGGTTGGGGGCCAAAGTTAGAACTGTGAAAACCGAGTCAACGCCAAGACCAGTGGTCCGGAGAGGTACGTAATTGGGCGTCCGTTCCGTAGCAGCGCGAAGACAGCATCTCGACTTCTGTCTTAGAACTGGAGAGATTTGGGCTGAGATCACTGGACCACATTCCTTATGCCTCTGGTTGGAGACAGAAGGCAGAACCGACTCCCCTTCCCATTTTATTATTGCTATTTTTTTTAACCTATTAGATATAACAATGCGAAGATTTGGTCTTCTATGTCAATGCGTTTGTTCTATCGATTTTGCAGTGCAGCTGCCACTTCACACTTCTTAGCTTTTACAGCCCCAGGTTTCAGAGGTCCTTTAGTGTACAAGGGCATCCTGTTCAAGAAGGCATGTGTATTCTAGTTTGTGCTCATGATAAGAAACTAATTGCTGGAGGACAGAAAGAGATCTGATTTTTATTTCAGTAGAGTCATGAACATTTTATCTAACCAAGGGCGTTTGACCTGATGTTTCCTTAGAAAGTTGTTAGGAGGAAGTAGGCTTTGCAAAGAATAACTGCAGTTTCAGACTGCAAAGTCGTTTGAACTGCAAGGTCAGTGGTTCAAGCTCACCAGCTGCTCCTTGGAAACCCTATACAGGGTCGCCATGAGTCGGGACTGAACCGATGGCATTTAACAACAACAATAACAATTCATATATAGATTTTATAACATTACATCTGCTACCCTCATTAGAGCTCCCCAACAGCCAGGTAAGGTAGGGAGAAAAGTGTTATTTCCCTTTTGGTGGTGTGCTGTGCAGTCAGTTCTGACTCATAGCGACCTTGCATAGAGGTTTCCAAGGCTGTAAATCTTTACGGGAGCAGAAAGCCTCATCTTTCTCCCGAAGAACTGCTGTTAGTTTTAAACTGCTGACCTTGAGATGAGCAGCCGGATTCCTAACCACTAACCTGAGGCTCAGAAAAGGTCATTGGTTTTCCTGAGTTAAGTGTTGGAGACAGGAGTCTTAACCAAGGAGAGACTGGTAGTCTAGTAGTTAGGATACAGATGTTGGATTCAGGTTTGCTTAGATTTAAATCTAGTTCTACATCTATGATTAAGGACTCAGTTGCTAACCAAAAGGACTGTGGTTTGAACCCATCAGCCACTCCTAAGGACATGGATGTACCTATTTGCAACCTTGGAAATGTTATGGGGCAGTTCTCTTACTCTGGGGTCTCCATGAGCTGGAATCAATCTATGGCTTCTCAGTTTGTGACCTTGCAAGGGCATCTTCTGTGCCTCATTTTCCTCATTGTACAATAGAGGTAACAATGAGTTAACATGTGGTTTAAATAGGTTAACATATCAAGCATCTTAGGAGGGTGCCTATATAGGCTGTTGTTGCTGTCAAGCACACAAGGACCAAACACACCAAATGCTGCCAGATCATGTGCCCTCTTTACAACCCATTATTGCTGCCACTGTGTTAATCTATCTTGTTGGGGCCTAGTGTAGATTCTGTGTGGGTGTTTGTTGACCTTAAAATAGTGTTATTCAGGTTCTACCAGCCTGTTTGTGGTGCTGTAGAATAAGCACTGGACTGCAAGGTCGGTTTGAACTATAAGGTTGGTCATTCAAACTCATCAGCTGCTCCCCAAAAAACCTATGTATGGTCAGTATGAGTTGGAACTGACTTGACAACGCTTAACAACAACAATAAAAACAACAACTACCAGCCTGTTTTTCCAATTTATACAATACCATTGCTGTTGAATAAATTCCAAGTCTTGGTGACCCCATATGTGTCAGTAGAACTGTGCTCTACAGTATTTTCAATTGCTGATTTTCAGAAGTAGATTGCCAGACCTTTCTTTCGAGGCATCATCAACAAGATAGATGAATCTACACCACACAGAATCTACACTAGGCCCCAACAACTTCTGGGTGAATGGCTCACCTTTCCGTTTTCAACACCCAGAGATTCCCTAAGTTCTGCAGTCTCTTCTAAATATGGGGTACCATTGTGCTGCTCTTATTTTCTGTCACCTCCTAGAACTTGACTTTACTACTCCTGTCTCTGCTTAGGAGATAGCTCTCAGGTATATATCTCTCACCTATGAGATATCGGATTCTACCTGGTAGTCTCTGGTTTTACCCCAGATCTTTATTGAACTTCTTCTTTGTGACTATCTGTCTATTCTCTGAAATTATATTTGATTTTTCACCTTTATTTCTGTTTGGTTTTTTTTTCAACCCAGGGGATATGCATATGTCAGTTTTGAACTTCTTTTATTCACTTCACAGTGAACTTGGTTACACCATGCTCTGAATCCCTTAATGGCCCTTCCTTAGTATACTCTTCCTACAGAAGATGATTCTCCTTAGTTGCTCTTTGCCCCTTCTCCACACTCTGAAATGACTCAACTATTCTTCCATACAGCAACATAGGAAGTCTTTTGGAATTTAGAGCCCCAAAACAAGTGAAGGCAAATGGTACAGACTCTCTTCCAGGCACTGATTCCTCGCTGTCTTGCAGGCTGTAGTCATTCAAGGTGCAGCTCAAGAGATGTCAAGGAGACAGGCCAGCTGTTGCTGTCAGTCTGGCAAATAAGTGTGCTATACTTTGATGGAAGGATGACCTGTCCAGTGGCTGTCTGCAGATTGGTAGGAACCTAAGTTTTAATTTTTGCCCATCCTGGTGTGACGCTGTAGGATCAGCACTGAACTGCAAACCAAAAGGTCAGCAGTTCAAACCCACCAGCTAGCTAGCTGCTCCTCGGAAACCCTACACAGGGTTGCTATGAGTTGGAACCGACTCGACGGCACTTAACAACAAGATTTACAAAATGAGGCAGTGGTGGCTCAATGGTAGGATTCTTGCCTTCTATGTGGGTAACGTGGATATGATTCTAGTCAATTCACTTCATGCTTAGCTACCACCCATCTCTCAGTGGAGGCTGTGTGTTGCTATGATGCAGGTTTCATCAGAGCTTCCAGACTAAGATGGCCTTGTGTCTACTTTGGAAAACCAGTCAATTAAAACCCTACGACTCAAAATGGTCCACCTGCAATCTACCATGGGGATGGTGCAGGACTGGGGAGCATTTTGTTCTGTTGTGTATTGCGTCACTAAGAGTCAAGGGTCGAGTCGATGTCAGCTAAAAACAACAGGGTTGAAGAGAATTTCAGAGGCAATTTCTTGTTAATCAAACTCTCAAGAATGCCAATTTTCTAATTACAGTGGAACATACATCACTTGGTTTGGAGAACAGGTAAGTAGCAGTGTAAAGAAACTTCTTTTTTTGCTAAGACTAAATTATTAGGTCAGAATGATGCTTGGCATATATGGAATAGATGTTAACTAGAACAGCTAGTAGTACTAGCTATTCCAAAGACCTTTCTGTTAGGCTGGGGTTAGTACAGTGGATTACATTTCTAACTCCATAAGGATTTCAAGACTGTGACTTGTCAGAATTGGATTCCCAGGCATTACTTCTGAGGTGCCTATGGGTAGGTTTGAACCACTAACCTTTTGGTTAGTAGTCCAGTGTTTGAATACCCAGGGAATCCTAGGATAAGAATAATTCCCTTAAGAAACTGTGCTGGTTGTTTAGTATCAGAACATCTTTGTTGTTGTTAAGTGCCTTTGAGTCAGTTCCAAGTCATAGGGACCCTGTATAGAGTTTCCAAGGATTGGCTGGTGAGCTTGAATCACTGACCTTGCAATTCAAGCCGACCTTGCAGTCCAGAGCTTTAACTCACAGCGTCATCCATACCAGGTCACCATCAGAACATTTTTAGTTAAGGACAAATACTCTGCCTTTTTGTATATTCCATGTAAGACCCAACCCCTCGGTTACTCACCATTCCTTAGTAAGATCTCAATTGATTTGGTTGTTTCTTTCTTTGCATTCCAGTTCCAAGAATATTCTATGGACTGCTTGATTGAAATGGGATATTTCTCAAGTTTTCTTGCTTACAATTTACATAACATTTTTAAAAAGGTCATTTAGTTTTTTCCCATTATGCATCAACTTTTATGAATTTTAGTGTTAATGGACTTTTCAAAACTATAAATTCAGATTTTGAAAGTTGAAATGTATGTGGGGTACCTTCAAAATAAATGACTTTGGCAATGGCTAATTGTCAAGCAATTCATTAAACTATAAGCTCTTCTCTGATCCCTTATTAGCTTACCAATTTGGGTGATAATAATTATTAATTGAGTACCTACTGCTTGTTTATTTATTTATTTCATTACTGAATAAATCTAGATTTGGGCATAAGTTCCTATTACAGCATGCTGACTGAGGATAAGACTTGAATTCTTTGCTTAGAATAACTTTGTTGTTGTTGAGTGCTGTTGAGTTGGTTCTGATTCCTAGCGACACTATGTAGGGTTTCTGAGGAGTGGCTGGTGAGCTTGTACCACTGACCTTGCAGTTCAAACTGACCTTGCAGTTCAGTGCATAGTCCACTTGTAGAATAAGTTTAGTGATTCTCTAAATCAGTGATTTTCAAGGGGTATACATAGTAATTTTTTTTAAGATTATATATGCAAACGTTATCTGGTAGCAGAGTGGTTACGAGTCAGGCTGTTAACCTCAAGGCCAGCAGTTTGAAACTACCAGCTGTTCCACAGGAGAATGATGAGGCTTTGTGCTCCCGTAAAGATTTGCAGCCTCAGAAACCCTGTGTGGGGTCACTGTGAGTTGGAACCAACTCCATGGCACACCACCACCATGCCAATGTTACAATTTTATATTGGGGAAAACTATTGTTTTAGGAATATAAACTATGGAAGGTAAAACTTGTCTGAGGGAATGTGTAATGAATGGAATTCTACTTGGGATAGTGAGTTGTATGTATAAGAATACCTGGGAGGGTGTGTATGTGTGTGATTTTAATCTTTATCAAACAGGAACGTGGGTTCAAGCTTTAAGAATGCTTTTCTTAAC